GGCAGCCCATGTCTCAAAATGGCTGCCCTCGTCAGGCACCTGGAGGCTGCCAGCTCCAGGCCCTTGAAGTGGCCGTCACACACAGTGCACTGCCACATAGAGAATATAATTATTGGGAGGGGGTGGGGAATCATCGTATATTCAGGGCCATTTTATATTCAAGTAAATACAGTACCTTGCAAGCTCCACCTCCCACACATTTCTACACTATAAAACTAGATCATAGTGAGCACTGAAACTTTTCTGAAACAATACATATATATACATTGGTAACAAATAAGTAAAAAAAAAGCATTAACTCTCAGAACGAGTATTTTCAGATGTTCTTCTCAAAATATGCTTGTACTCTTCAGAATTATTGCCAAGTCAATAACTAAGAAAGATTAAAACTTGCTTATTAGGTCACTTTTCAACAAGACAGCTGTTACCAACTGGAGGATTTTAAAAGCAGATCTCAGTCAAGAGCATATATATTCTAGAGGCATCTCTGTAACTCTAACCTTTCGCTTATTTTGTAGGGAATTTCCTGAACTATGGAATGACCTTTGCTGAACATCACTGAAGTCTTTATAAAAAGAAACTTTATTTTTTCCTGCAAGACAAATTCAGTTGAAGGCTCTGTTTTGTTAATTATATATTGCAGAAAAGAAGTTGTGTCACATGACACTATCCCTGCCTTCCTCAGAGCAACTTTCCTTTCATTATGTTAGAAGGTATTACAACAGTAGTAAAGAAATATTTTCTAATTATTAGTTACAATAACACTCACCAGCCATTGCTGAGGTATCTCTGGCAGAGGCATCTGAGGAGGGGCAGGTAAACTATTGGAGACTTCTTGTTTTTGTACATGTTCTTTTATTTCAAAACCTAAAGAAGAGACATACGTTTCACTTAAAAACAGTAATCACTAAAATGCTAAAATGGGATGCTGTTCTATCATATCTATCTAATGGGCATTCAATCCATCCTTAAGTTCAAAGTACTTCTGAACATCATTTATAAGTAAAACAGAACATTTTAACTTATATTTCACCTATATAAAATGGAATATTTTTGGCATCCAAACTTAACCAGTGCAAATCAGAGATTTTTCTGCCTTCAAAAATGGCAGAGCAGTGTCTAATTAGTGCAATCTTAAATGTCCAGACTACAACCTTTCTTCTCAAACTTATTGCCAGATCTTAAATCACTTTCAAAGCGCCATGGTTAAATGTGTTGCCAACACAATAGGTAAAACACTGGTGGTTCACACTTCTAATTAAACAGAATAAATATATACACACAAGAAACTTCCTATAAAAAGCAAAGCCAATCTGGTTTGGCCAGATACAGAACTGCTTGGCAAGAAGAGCTGTGCTCAGATCAGGCACCTGGAAACTACACCTGGACTGCCACTGGTTTTCCTTGTGCTCCCTTCCCCCAGCTGCAGTGGGGGCACCACTTCCAGCTGGTGAGGAGCTGGTCCAGAGCTCCATAGCTAGGAGTTGTGTTGCAGGGTCAGATAGTAGAGAAGCAGCAATAACATGAATGCTGCTTCCAGCTGCCCCAGCTCACCTACCCACTGGCTGGAGGCTGTGCCCATGATCCAGCTGGAGAGCATGGGACTAGAAGCAATTCCTAGCTGCATGGGAGCAGGCAAACCCCAGGCCACTGATGCTCTACCAAAGCCCCTGGCTCATGTTGGACTGGAGCCAAGATAGTCTGGTCCACATCTTGTCAAGGTTGCTGGCTGCTGCATTCAGGGATCTAAATGGTCAAAACTTAACCAATTTTACCAGACAGCCTACTAGCTAAAAGACTAGAAAATTAATGCATCACATTGGAGCCCAGATTCAGAAAGAACCCCTGTTCAAACTCAGAGGTTGCACACCCAGTCACTGATTACCACATTAGAAGATATCAATGAAAGAAGCAATAAGTGGAGAGATTCACGGAGATTCTCCTTTGTAGGATTTTCTTTGTTCAAGCTTGGCTGTTTTTTATGAGGGTTATAGATTTGAAAAGCCCTCATGGGGACAGATTTTCCTTAGTGTAACTACCATTGGAAAAAGACAAGTATTAACCTCTGACCGGTGGTCATAAACAGGAAACAACTGACTGGTTCTGTCATTCTAAGGTGGGAAACCCAGTCAAAACTCAAGCACTTCATAGAAACATGGTATAGTTCATCAAAAAATCAGAACCAGAGATTAGGGTGCATTGTGTTGGCATACATTCAATCAATGCAGTTGCAGCCTGCTTAGTGCTTACTCCTTGGGCTGAATTTTGTTCCTAGCATTTTGTTTACTTTTTAAATATATATTTACACAGTCAAATGGACATCATTTGGCCAATTCCATATGATTCTCAAAAGTGTAATCAATGATGAAATGTTTCCTGTCATAATAACTTAGTCCCACTGGGTGTGAAGTAATGGAAAGGAAAAACAAAGCCGATAAAGTAAACTGACAAGGTGCCAGAGAGTCCTCTTTCTTCTTAAAAATCTAGTTTAGAGATGTTTCTTGGGAAATACTCCAAAATAATTTATTTTGAAAAATGTTACAGCTGAAATGTGACTTTATGGGGAACAACTGCACATTAAAATGTTTTACCCATATCTAACTGTCTTTCCCTTCTCTGCTCTGTTTTAATGGTAACAAGAAAGGGATTTCTTACTAGGAAAAAAATCAAAATTAGTCATACTGAATATATAAACATAGATTTCCTCAAGTTTTAAATACTTTTCTGTTTGATAGTAGCCAAACTGTATGCCATAATAACCCATCATTTATTCCAGGGCCTTGGGTCACTGCCTGCCACATATAGCTTGTAGGGCGTAGAGCCGGACCAAGGCACGTATCGCATGCAGGGCCAGTTCAGGACATGTGATGCATGTGATGCCTGAATCAGATTGGCCCTGCAAGCTGGATCTGGGACTGGTCCAGACTGGGCCCGCAGACCAGCCCCCCGTACTGCGTGCAGCGTGCCAGGCTGGGACTGGCAGAGGTGGATTAATGTATAGGCCCACAGGGCTTGGGCCCAGAGGCCCCTGCATGCTTGGGTTTCCTTGGTGAACAGTGGGTTTCCCCTTGCAGGCAGGCAGTATTTTAGCCTGCAAGGGGTCCTGTTTGGGGCTGCCCAGATCAAGACGCAGGGGGCGCTGTGTGCATGTGCATGGCCATACATACACACACGGCCAGGAAAACAGCCAGGCAGTATGAAGAGCATCTCCCTGCAGGTAAGTCTATGCAGGGGAAGGGGTGTGTGTGTGTGTGTGTGGGCAGGGGCTCAGATCAAGGCCCCCATGGTGAGGGAGAGAGTGGAAAGGGCAGGGGCTGGGGGTGCTGTCCAGCCAGGGTGGTGCATGGAATCTGGGGCTGGGGTGAGGAGCGGGACAGAACCACAGGTGGCTCATCCAGAGGGTGCATCCCATCACTGTGTGTACCACCCAAGGGTGGATTGGGGGGCCTGTGCCCCCCCCCACCCAGATTTGTGCATGGGGTGGATGCAGGCTGCTCACTGTGGACTTGGGGCTCTCTGCCCTGCTGCCTTTGCCCTGGGAGCCCCATGCAAGCCATGCACCCCTGCCCACCTGACAGCAGCGGGGGTGGCAAGTTGTGTCTCGTGCTGCTGCGGGGTCAGGAGGCCCATGGCCAGTGTGGAGGGTGTTTATTTATTTTTATTATATATAAATATTTAGCTAAAATTAGCTAATTTAAATTAGCTAAAAGAAAGTTACAGTTTATGTGTTTCAGGGAAGTGCTACTATCACCCCTCAAAAAAAATCTTTATAAATTTCTACACCTTTAAAAAAAAACAAAACATTTTTTTCTGTTTATTTCCAGAACTTCTAGAATATCCAGCCAGTTCCCAACTTCCACATAATTATTGACCAACTATCCCTAAATTTACCTATGGTTTGCTTCAATTATGGCAATAAACTGTTGATTTTTCAGATGTTTAGGATTTAAAGTGTAATAAAGATTTTGAAGTGTAGTTCTACCAGGCCACTGATATAATTTAAGAAGTGGCTTACACTGTCCTCACAGATCTGCACAGGCTAGGTATAACACTATTTTAATGGCCAGAAATAGAATGATTGCTGTGTTTGGTTATATAGCTTTATTTTACTGCATTGAACAAACAAAACAACAGTTTGGTGGGGAATTTAATGTTGAACTTTTAATAGCCAGTCTTCAACTGTCAGTAACAAAGTATCCATCAGAACTCCAGGCCATCATTCCAATGATCAATTACCCTAACCATTAAGAATTTGCGCTTTATTTCTAGATCGACTTGGTCTATTTTCAACTTCCATCCACAGCATCTTTAACAAGCTCCTGGAGCCTCTCACTGTAAAACAATTTCAGTCCTTCAGCCATTCCTGAGGCGCTTCTCTGAATTGTCCAAAATTTTTCAACAACTTTCTTGAATTCTAGGCATCTTTCCATTCCTTCTATTGAGGCAGAGACGCAAGATAAAAGGAGTGCAAGAGTTCTGGGACCAGCAGGAAAAGAAGCAGAGAGAGAGCGCAAAAGTGAATATGATTCTATACCTATAGCCCCATGATGAAGGCACTTTTCTCAGACAGGCGAGTCCCAGGTTTTAATCCCTGCTCCCAGGACTGTTTACATTTTATATTTGCATTTATTCTAGATGGTCATTGGTTAATAACCAGAAAGAACCTCGGCAGCAAGGTGGTGCTACTGAACCTCAGTATCAACAAGTTAATTCCCATCTCCATTTGATACTGGCTATCACTGATCATCAATTCACTTGGTATTTTTTCAAACAAGTTCCTCCTACTTAGGAGGAGCTCCCTTTAAATATAAGAACACCTGCATTATCCTCCTTCAAATCTCTTCCCTAAGATTGCCCTTGGCCATAAACTTGACAACAATAAGACTGCCTACCATACTAACCAGTAACATCTGACCTTTTCTCTGAGCTGCCCTGTCTACTGACCTGTTATCTCTTGTCTGAGATGATAAGCTCTTTAGGTCAGGACTGACTTCTTGCTTTGTATTTTGTAGAGCACCTGGTCCAAGATTCATAGATTCATGGATGCTAGGATCGGAAGGGACCTCAATGGATCATTGAGTCCAACCCCCTGCCCGTGGCAGAAAAAAGTGCTGGGGTCATGTGATCCTAGCCAGGTGCTTATCCAGTCTCTTCTTGAAGACCCCCAAGGTAGGGGATAGCACCATCTTTGTTGGAAGCCCGTTCCAGATATTGGCAATCCTAAACATGAAGAAGTTTACTGATGTCCAACCTAACTCTATCAGCTTGTGGCCATTGTTCCTGGTTATTCCAAGGGGTGCCCTGGTAAACAGAGCATCTCCTATTCCCTGCTGCCCCTATTTCCCACCACCTTGGTGAATTTGTATACTGCCACAAGATCCCCGCCTCAGCCTTCTCTTGCAGAGGCTGAAAAGGTCTAGGTCCCTCAGCCTTTACTCATAGGGCCTTCCCTGCAGGCCTCAAATCATACAAGTGGCCCTCCTCTGGACCCTCTCAAGGTTGTTCACATCCCTCTTGAATTGCGGCGCCCAGAACTGGACACAGTACTCCAGCTGCAGCCTGACTAGTACTGCATAAAGTGCTGCACTACCTCCCTGGACCTATTTGTGATGCACCTACTAATGCATGACAAGTGCAGTTAGCTCTCCTAATTACTTCATCACATTGACAGCTCATATTCAAATGGAGTCTACAACAACTTCGAGATCTCTTCCCGCCGCTGTGCTGCTGAGAAGGTCATCCCCCAGCCTATAGGTGTGCTGGTGATTCCCTCTCCCTAGGTGCAGCACCTTGCACTTGTCCTTGTTGAACTACATCCTATTGTTCTCTGTCCACTTTTCTAAACTGTCCAGGTCCACCTGGATTTGGTTTCTTCCCATCGGTGTTTTTACTTTACCCCATAGTTTTGTGTCATCTGCAAATTTGGACAGAGTGCTTTCCACACCCTCATCCAGGTTGCTGATGAAGATATTGAACAGCACCGGCCCAAGGACCAAAGCTTGGGGGACCCCACTGCCCACTCTTTTGAGGTAGATACCAATCCGTCCACCACCACTCTGAGTACAATCCTTAAGCCAATTTGCCATCCACATGACTGTGTATGTCTATGGCATAGCCGTTCAGTTTGTTTACAAGAACAGGATGGGATACCATGTCGAAGGCTTTCTTAAAGTGACATCTACCTCGACTCCTGCATCTAAGCATTTAGTGACCTAGTCATAGAAAGAAACAAGGTTAATCAGGCAGGATCTACCTGCTATGAACCCATGCTGGTTGCCCTTCAGCACTATATTACCCACTGGACTCCTACAAATGTGATCCTTGATAATTTTTTCCAAGGATGGAGGTGAGACTAACTGGTCTGTAGTTACCCGGATCCTCCTTCCTCCCTTCTTCAAAATAGGGACCACATGGGCCCTTTTCCAGTCCTCTGGGACCTCACCTGAGCACCATGAGTGCTCAAACACCCATGCCAGTGGCTCTGCTATGACACTGGCAAATTCTTTCGGCACCCTTGGATATAGCTCATCCAGTCCCACCGACTTAAATACATCCACAAACAACAATAGGTCGGTGCTGACAGTAGGTGGGCTGGTGTTCCTCCTGCTTCTGTCTGTAATGCATTTGGGAGCTTTGTCTAGATCTGTTGGTCCATGACTGGAATTCATATGAAGCACAATAATAGTGCAACATAGTACTAATTGTACGAGCTGCATACTAGAACAAATAATATTTTTTTCAGCATCTAAAGTTAGAAAGTCACTTGTATATATTTGATGCGATGAATAATGTTTCATACTCATTCAATATTATAATCTGTGACTCTCTCTGAAATAAAGCTATGCAGCTGATTTCCTAAGCCAGTAGCCAATACTTTATTGTTTGAGACTAATTAATTGCATTGGTTAGTCTGATCAATAGTCAATTGGATTTTCATCCTTTTTCAGAAGCATAACTATGCTGGCTTCCAGGCAAAATTAGGCAATTTTCCTTGTTCAAGAGAGACTGAACATTTGAAATAAGCAAAACATCAGAAGCTCCTTTAAAGATGTATAGACCTTGCTGCTAAAGGTGACCTGCCCTGGACATTTGTCATTTGGGAGGTTCCCTGTAATATTCTGAACTTCCTTTGTTGATATCCCATCTTCGGATTCAACCTCTTCTATCTATATTTTTAACCAGTCTTTAGCATAGTTGAAATCTCCAAGAGTGTATTGCAACGGAGTCTCCAAAAGTGAATGCGTTGTTTCTGTAACATTTGAATATATTTATCTTTTTATGATCTGTTTATGTCCTTCTATTCCAGCTGCAAGAATAATGGCTAGGGCATGAATGAAAGGACACAAATTAAAAATGTTGTAACCACTGCATTTTAGCTATAATGTACAATAACTGACAGAGTAAGGAATGTAACATATACTACTGTTCAACAACAGTAGATTTCTTGAATTACAAAAGATCCTAATAATTTGACACTTTGATTGTTGCATATGGGCTTTCTGAAAATATCAGGGTCAAAGTTAAGTTTGTGAAGTTGTTTTAAATGGGGTGCTGACATGAAAGATTTATTTAAGTGGCAACATTTTTAAAAAACCCAACAACACCATTACTCAAAATTCCTTTCTGGTTCTTTTGTTTTCCTCCCCAACATTTCCTGCGTGGGAGAGGGAGATGGGGCGACATTAGCCTTGCCAGAGAGTAACATGAAAAATATCACTGAGATTGGCTTGTTTCTGGGTAAAACAAGGTGGAGGAGGTCTGGAAAGCCAAAAAATGTATAATGGCAGCAGGCTGCTGTCAGTGCTCCATAATGTAATACTACTTCTCAACATTACCACTAATTGCAGGCACAGCCACAAATGAAATAAAGTAACTGCTAAATTCACAGATCACAAAACACGCTAGTTGGCAAACTATGTAAAGTCAAATGAATTTGTGGTTAGATTATGTTTATATTCATAGGGTGGAACATATGTTCAGTAGGCTAGGTCCTGCCCATTATCCCATTTTATTGTTTAACATAAGGAAAACACTTAGTAAAGTTACATTTAGTTTTTCCTTGTTTGTCTATGTTTGCTTCAATTTGGCTTCTGAGGGGAAAGGAAAAAAAACCCCGTCTCGTTGAGCATAAGCTAATTCTTCCCATTCTGCAAGCAACAAGTCTCCAGCACTGACCTTTTGATGACTGTATCCTCAGGAGAATGTTAGTTATTACTGCCTTTTTCTCTCTGACAGTGGATGTTAGATATTCATGGTCCAAAAGTTCAAGAAACAGACGTAGCTCAACTATTAACTCTTCCATGGCTGAAAAACAAGAAAAATTAAACTTTGTAAACATGAAGGGCAGACTTACTCCTCTTGCATTTAAACTGCTGTCTGTTTTTTGCATGTTTAATCCTGCCTATATTAAAATTTACCTGGGAACATATTGCATCCATCAATCAGACAAATTAGTGAGTACTCACACATTTGTAACCATCAGCACAAAATGATTATGTATGTATATAAGAGAACACCCACTCTCTCTTGTTTCTCTCTCTCTCTCTCTCTCTCTTTCTGTCCTCTGTTCCCTATACTGTTTGCGCATTTTTCACTAAACAGGCATTGAATGCAATGCATAAACAATGCTAGGAGCAAGGGGGGTCCCCAAACTCAGGACTCTTCTCCACAAGGAGAACCTACCTTATAAATAATAGTCATTCTTCCTTTTGCTTGCTCTCTTTCTGGCACATTCATGTTTCATTTTTGGTTGTCCAGTGGGCCAGCTTTAAACAGCATGCAATCAATCCTACCTAGCAATCACCTAGTGATTATGGGACACTTTTGTGAAAAAGTGGAGATGTGGGTTGAAAACCTGTTAGGATAAGTGGGATATAAAACCCAGATCTCCCATTTCTAGTCAAGTGCCCTAATCACAAGGATACTGGGCAAAAGGTGGGCAGGTCCCCTTCCTGTTCCAGGCACGCAAGCTGGCTTGTGTAGATGTCTACCTCTGAGCAAGCTGTCTCTTGACATAATGGAAAGTATCTTCCTGCTAAGTTAGATACAGGAGTTCACCCATTCCCCCATTCCTAACATTTCCTATTGGCTGCCTGCAGGCAAGTTTTGTCCCATATTTATGTGCTTTGGAGGTATATGAGGCTACCCACTGCCAGAAAGAGGAAGCTATGCAAATCCCGAGTGGAACAGATTTCTTCTCCTGAAGCAAGATGTGTGTTTTTGGAACACTATTATGCATTTTAAGGTGACTGTGTAACATGTATAACATTTGAAAATGAAAAAAATTAATGAAAACCAATTACTACTAATGGATATTTTGTAAAGTAGCTAAATATTTATTTTGCGATTGACAGTACCTTTTATTTTAATTACTTTTGCTTCCATCACGGTGTTATACACGCAAAAATAAAACCCAGAACTTTACACTAGTGATGGCTTTACTTTTAATTTTTTTTAAACTAACTAAACTGTACTGTTTGTGTGATAGAAGAGATCTGACTTAGATTGTCACCTTACCTATCCATTTGATTTTCATCCTCTTGCCCTTGCATACAACCTGTCTCTGTTGTCAGCACCTTTTGCTACTCCCTACTGGGGCTGTGCAAAGCTTTGGGTACTGATTCGATTCGGAGGAGATATGGCCCGATTCGGTGGCTGAATCTCCGAATCCGAATTAAATCAGGAGACCAATAAAAAGGTCTGAATCAATTCAAAGCTCTCCAAATCGATTCGAAAAACATTCAGAGAGCTTCAGAGATTCAGGCAGTCCCTGCTCACTGCCACAGGGAGCTGAATCTGGACCCAGACTCCATGCTGGTAAGTAGAGAGTAGAGTGGGGCTGGGGAAGGGAGGAAGGGCCCCCACCAGCCCCCATCCCCTGCCTGCTGCCCCAGCTCCCTGAGTGCCACTGTCCCCTGCCCATTCTCCCCGCCCCACCCCTCAGGGCTGCTCCACCCGGCCCCTGCTAGCCAGTTCTTTAAAAAAAAGTCCTGAACTCACAAGCTTCTGCACTGGCCATTGGGGCTCCTGGGGGCTCGTGGCAGAGCCCCCCCATGCAGCACAGGGCAATGGGGATCATCCCCATGCCTGGCAACAGCTGGCAGGGATGGGGGCTCATAGCAGAGCCCCACAGGCAACATGGCACAGCAGGGTGCAGTGGGGATCACTCCGCTGCCTGGCAGCAGCCGGTGAGTGGGGGCTTAAAAAAAAAGAGCCACTATGCTGGGGCTAGGAGAGCTGGCAGAGGATGGGGGCTCATGACAGAGCTTCCCATGCAGCACGGGGCAGTGGGGGACAGCAGATATCATCCGCCACCCTCCCAGCAGAATCTGGTGAGTCCCGTGCTTTTTTTTTTTTTTTTTTTTTTTTTTTAAAATAGCCAGGGCCGGGAAGCGGCGTGGGTGGTTTTTTTTTAAAAGAGCCAGGAGCTGGAGCTGGAGCTGGAGCTGGGTGGGGCAGCCATTGACGAGGCTGGGAGAGCAGGCATGCGATGGGGCCTGTTTGATTCAGAGATTTGGCTGATTTGGCGGTGGCTGAATCTCTGAATCAGATCTGGCCAAGTTGATTTGGGACAGCGATTCGAATCACTGAATTGAATCACTGCCCCCTGAATTGGCTGAATCCAAAGCTGAAGCGAATACCAGCTGCTTCTTGCAGGCCTTCTCCCTACTATCTCTCATAATTGCTCACAGAAACTATTCAAATGCCTTCTTAAAACTAGTTCAATTTTTTTGTCCCTAGCGTTCCTATTGGAAGGCTGTTCCAGATTCATAATCTGATAACTAGGAAACTACTTGTTTGACATCCAGAATTTATTCATGACCAGTTCATGCCTACTTGTTCGTCTTCCAAAATTTTCTTGTAGCTTAAATAGTTCTTTTCCCTCTACAGTGTTTACTCCTCTGATGTATTTATAAGACAGCAATCATGCCCACTTTCAGCCTTCATTTTGCTAAATTAATTAGGCCATGTCTTTTGGTCTGCTTTATTCATAGATTCATAGATTGTAAGGCTGGAAGGGATCTCAGAAGATCATTGGGTCCAGCCCCCCTGCACCAGGCAGGAAAGACAACTGGGGTCATCTGACCCCAGCAAGATGACCATCTAGTCTAGTCTCCTCTTGAAAATTTCCAGGGTAGGCAATTGCACCACCTCTGGAAGGAGCTTATTCCACAGTCTGGACACCCTAACTGTGAAGAAGTTTTTCCTAATGTTGAGGGTGAAACAGTCTTCCAGGACTTTGTGGCCATTTCTCCTGGTTCCCCCAAGGGCACCCTAGTGAACACAGTAAGCTCTCCATTATCCTGGTATATCTTCTCTGGACATATTCCAATTTAAATTAATCTTTCTTGAATATGGGTGACTAGAATAGCCCATGCTATTCCAAATGAGTTCTCTCCAGAGCCTTGTACAATGAAATTATTACTTGCCTATCTCTGCTGGAAAATACCTGGAAACTGCCTTTGCTTTTTTTCCCCACAGCCATATCACTTTTGTGATCAACTTGTGAACAACTAATTCATCCAGGTCTGTCACCTCCTCAGTCTCCCAAAAGATGAGCTCCTATTTTATAGCCAAAAATATGCTTTATTAATTTTTAAGGGTATGATCTTGCACTCTATACTATTAACTTTCATACCAGTGCTATTATGTTAGTCATCAAGGACATGTAGGTCATCCTGTGTGTACTTCAATCTTCTTCTTGCATTGACAACACCCCCCAACTTTGAGTTAGTAGAAAGCATTTTACATATTTAGACTTTTTTCTGCTAAGACTCTTAATGAAAATATTAATCAAGATCTTTCCAAAGACTGATCCTGAGGCACTCAACCAACTACTTGTCTCCAGCCCGATACTTTCTCTTTGAATACAACCCAATGTTACCTTCCCGTTAGTCAGTACCTTACCCATTTTACAATTTTCATATAAACCCAGTTTAAATAAGAATTAGTTATTCTCACACTTGCTTTCTCTAGATAATCACTATCTCAAAGATAGTGTTAGTTTGGTGCGATGGCACAATAAACCCATGTTGTATTTTACACTATTTTCCATTTACCTCTGTGGCTTTGATTACTCTCTCCTTCAAATTTAGTTCTAAGGTCTTGCATACTACTGAAGTGAAGTTAATGAGTCTGCAAATTATTTATTAATTTTTATGCTGCCATTCCCAAAGGCTTAGGCTGGCTTGCAGAATGGAGCAAAACAACTTATAAAACAAATGGACAAGAGAACAAAATAACTAGTAAAAGCCAATAGAGCACAGGTTGGCAACACTTGGCAGCAAGAGGTTGTTTTACCAGAGTTTAGCTTCAAGCAAGGGCTGCTTCCAACTTGGCCTGCACCACTGCTGGAGCTGGAGCCACAGCTCTCCCTTGCAGCACTGCCACTTCTCCCCACCAGAGGAGTAACCACCAGGAACAAATTCCCACATGTGTCCCAACCTGGCACACTGATGGTATTTGCAGGAGTCTACTCCTGGCTGACCTGTAGGGATCATTATAGGGCATAAGGGAGAAGGTAGTCCGTTAAGTACGTAGGGCCCAAGTTAATCTTGTCCTCTTCATAAATAAAGATATATTTGCCATTATTTAGTCGTATGGTACCAGTACTGATTCAATCGTTTTATTGCAAATTCATGCTGTTGAACCTGTGATTTCATGTGCCAGTTATTTCAGACATCAGAGATAGAGACTCTGTAATCCACTGAATTAATTGAATGTATTTGGTCACAGGTGTCAAACTCATCTGGCTCCATGAGCTGGATGACGGTCACTGGGCTGGTCTGTGGGCTGGATCGAGACTGTATGGCATACAGTGCTGGGTCCAGTCTGTACACGGCATGCAGAGTGAGCCCCAAGGCTGGCACATGCTGCATACAGTGCCTTGCTGGATCTGCCTGTCCTTGGCATGGCCAATCCAGACTAGACCCAGAGCCAACATACAGAGCTGGTTTGGCACAAGCGCTGCATGCAGCTCATCACAGACTGTGCCTCCCCTACAGTGTGCAGCACGCACAGTGCCAGGTTCAGCCCACGTGCCACAAGCAGTGTGTAGGGCCAGGACCAGCAAATGCCTTATGCAGCATGTGGGATCAGTCCAGAGATCCATGGGCTGAATCACACAGCTCTATAGGCCGTATATTTGAAACTCTTATGTAAGGCTCTGAGTTTTGTTTCCACCCTGGATGTAGTAACTTCCATATTCTTACTCTCAAGAGCGAACCTGCCCTTGGCCCCATGTTCAACAGCATTATTCTTACTGAAAATGTAGATGACGCATTCCTTTAGTTTTTGGGGCATAT